GACTAAAAAGGCACAGTGGCAAGCCAGATAAAAAAGCAAGACCCAATGGTATGCTGTCTTCAAGAGACCCATCACACACACGTAACAATACTCAAAGACTAAAAATAAAGGGATGGAGAAAAATCTACCAAGCAAATGGAAAACAGAAAAAAGCAAGGGTTGCAATCCTAATTTCAGACAAAACAGATTTCAACAAGGAATAGCATTACCTTAACTGTAAAGGGTTTGATTCAACAAAAAGACCTAAATATCCTAAATATATAGCACTCAACACAGGAGCACCCAGATACATAAAGCAAATTCTTAGAGACCTACAAAGAGACATAGACTTCCACACAATAATACTGAGAGACTGCAACACTCCACTGACAGTATTAGGCAGATCATCAAGGCAGAAAATTAACAAAGATATTCAGGACCTAAATTTAGCACTGGACCAAATGGATCTGATAGACCTTTACAGAAGTCGCCATTGAAAACAATAGAATATACATCATCTCATCGCCATATGGCACACACTCTAAAATCAACCACATAATTGGACACAAAAACAATCCCCAACAAATGTAAAAGAATTAAAGTCAAACCAAACATACTCTTGGACTACAGTGCAATAATAATAGAAGTCAACACAATGAAAATCGCTCAAAACCATATAATTACATGGAAATTAAACAACATGGTTTTGAATGACTTTTGGGTAAATAACAAAACTAAGACAGAAATCAAGAAGCTCTTTGAAAATAATGAGAACAAAGATACAACATATCAGATCTCTGAAACACAGCTAAGGCAGTATTCAGAGGGAAATACATAGAACTAAATATGCAAATCAACAAGTTAGAAAGATCTCAAATTAATAACCTAATTTCACAACTGCAAGAAATAGAGAAGCAAGAACAAATCAACCCCAAAGCTAGCAGAAGACAAGAAATGACAAAAATCAGAGCTAAAAATCAAGAATTCAAAAACATTTCAAAGATCAATGAATCTAGGAGTTGGTTTTTTGGGAAAAAAAATAAAACAGATAAGCCACAAGCTACACTAAGTAAGAGAGAAGATCCAAATAAACACAATTAGAAATGATGAAGGGAATGTTACTACTGACCTGACAGAAATAAAAACCACCACCAGAAATTACTATGAACACTGCTATGCACACAAACTAGAAAAGATGGATAAATTCCTGGACAGATACACCTTCCTAAGACTGAGCCAAAAAGAATTCAATTCCCTGAACAACCAATAACAAGCTCTGAAATGGAATCAGTAATAAATAGCCTACCAACCAAAAAAAGCTCAGGACCTGATGAATTCACAGCTAAATTCTACCAGATGTACAAAGAAGAGCTGGTACCATCCCTACAGAAACTATTCTAAAAAATTTAGGAGGAAGAACTTCTCCCCAACTCGTACTATGAGGCCATCATCAGCTTGATACTAAAACCCAGCAGAGGCACACCAAAAAAAAAACTTCAGGCCAATCAATATCCTTGATGAACATCAATGCAAAAATCCTCAACAAAATACTTGCAAACCAAATCCAGCAACAAATCAAAAAGCTAATACACTATGATAAAGTAGGCTTCATCCACAGGATGCAAAGTTGGTTCAACATATGAAAATCAATAAATGTGATTCATCACATAAACAGAACTAAAAACAAAAACCACATGATTATGTCAACAAATGTAGAAAAAACTTTTGATAATATTCAACATTCCTTCTTGTTAAAAAACTCTCAGTAAGTTAGGTATTGAAGGAACAAGCTCAAAATAAGAGCCATTTATGACAAACCCACAGACAACATTATACTAAATGGGCAAAAGCTGAAAGCATTCCCCTTGAAAACTGGCATAAGACAAGGATGCCCTCTCTCACCACTTCTCTTCAATGTGGTATTAGAAGTCCAGGCCACAGCAATCAGGCAATAGAAAGAAATAAAGGGCATTCAAATAGGAAGAGAGAAAAATCAAATTATCTCTGTTTGCACATGACATGATTCTATATCTAGAAAACCCTGTAGTCTCAGACCAAAAGCTCCTTCAGCTAACAAACAACTTCAGCAAAGTTTCAGGATACAAAATCATTGTACAAAAATCACTAGTATTCCTGTATACCAACAACAACCAAACTGACAGCCAAATCAGAAAGGCAATCCCATTCACAATTGCTGCAAAAATAAAATAAAATACCTAGGAATACAGATAACCAGAGATACGAATGATCTCTACAATGAGAATTACAAAACACTGCTCAAAGAAATCAGAGAAGATACCAACAAATAGAAAAACATCCCATGCTCATGGATAGGAATAATCAATATCATTAAAATGGCTATACTAACCAAAGCAATTTACAGATTGAATGCTATTACTATCAAACTACTAATGGCATTCTTCAAATAACTAGAAAAAATTATTTTAAAATTTACATGGAATCAAAAAAAGAGTCCAAATAGCCAAGGCAATCCTAAGCAAAAAGAACAAAACTGAAGGAATCACTTAATTTGACTTCAAACCATAATACAAGGCTACAGTGACCAAAACAGCATGGTACTGGTACAAAAACAGGCACATAGACCAATGAAACAGAATAGAGAGCCCAGAAATAAGGCCACACATCTATGACCATCTGATCTTTGACAAAGCTGATAAAATGAAGCAATGGGAAAAAGACTCCCAATTCAATAAACGGTACTGGGGTAACTGGCTAGTCATATGCAGATGATTGAAGCTAGACCCCTTCTTTATACCATATACAAAAATCATCTCAAGATAGATTAAAGAGTTACACGTAAAACCCAAAACTATAAAAACCCTGGAAGACAATCTAGGCAATGCCATCCTGGAACTAGGAACGGGCAAAGATTTCATGACAAAGACACCAAAGCAATTGCAACAAAAGCAAAAATTGACAAATGGTATCTAATTAAAACTTAAGAGCATCTGCACAGCAAAAGAAACCACCAACAGAGTAAACAGACAACCTACAGAATGGGAGAAAATATTTACAAACTATGTATCTGACAAAGGTCTAATATTCAGCATCTATAAGGAACTTAAAAAAATTTAGAAGAGAAAAACAACCCCATTAAAAAGTGGGCAAAGGACATGAACAAACACTTTTCAAAAGAAGACATACATGCAACCAAGAAACATATTTTTTAAAACTCTATATTACTGATCATTAGAGAAATGCAAATTAAAACCATGAGATACCATCTCACACCAGTCCAAATGTCTATCATTAAAAAGTTAAAAAATAACAGACACTGACTGGCGAGGTTGCATAGAAAAGGGAACCCTTATACACTGTTGGTGGGAGTGTAAATTAGTTCAACCATTGTGGAAAGCAGCATGGCAATTCCTCAAAGAACTAAAAGCAGAACTACCATTCTATCCAGCAATCCCTTTATTGGGTATATACCCAGAGGAATATAAAGCATTCTACCATAAAGACAAATGCACACAAATGTTCACTGGAACATTGTTCACAATAGCAAAGATTTGGAATCAACCTAAATGCACATCAAGGACAGACTGGCTAAAGTAAACATGGTTCATGTACAGCATGGGATGTTATGCATCCATAACAGCAAATGAGATCATGTCTTTCATGGGAACACTGATGGAGCAAACTAACACAGGAACAGAAAACTAAATACTACATGTTCTTACTTATAAATGGGAGCTAAACGATAAGAACTTACAAAAACAATGAAGGAAAGAGTAGTAAATGAGGTCGGTCTACTTCAGAGGGGAGGGTGGGAGAGGAAAGAGAAGCAGAAAAGATAACTATTGGGTATTAAGTTTAATACCTGGATGATGTAATAATATGTACAACAAACCCTCGTGACACGTTTATCTTTATAACAAACCTTCATATGTACCCCTAAACCTAAAATAAAAGTTAAAAATAAGACAACTGCCAGGCGCGGTGGCGTGTGCTTGTAGTCCTAGCTACTCAGGAGGCTGAGGTAGGAGGATCCGCTTGAGCCCAGGATTTCTGGGCTGTAGTGTACTATGCCAGTCAGGTGTCTACACTAAGTCTGGCATCAATATGGTGACCTCCCAGGAGCAGGAGACCACCAGGTTGCCTAAGAAGGCATGAACCAGCCCAGGTCAGAAACAGAGCAGGTCAAAACTCTGGTGCTGATCAGTAGTGGAATCGCACCTGTGAATAGCCACTGCACTCCAGCCTGGGCAACATAGCAGGACCTCATCTCTAAAAAAATAAAATAAAATAAAATAATTTAAGCTTAAAACAAAACAAAACAAAAAGTTAGGGGACCAGGTGAAAATATGAATAACAACAATAAAATTAACATGAAATAGATCATGAACCTAATCATAAAAGTTAAGCCTATAATACTTCTAGCAGAAAACAGAAAATCTTTGTGATCTGGGGGTACGGACAGATCTCTTAGCACACAAAAAGCACAACCATAAAAGAAGAAAACTTGTAAATTTAACATCATCAAGATTAAAACTTCTGCTCTTTAAAGGTATCATTATGAAAACAAAAGAAGCAAGCTGCAGATGAAACGATATTATGCACAATACTTACAGTTCATGAAGGACTTCTATCCAGTAAAAAGGAAAAACTCTTACAACTCAATAATATGGTAACATCAATTAAAAATGGACAAAATATTTGAATGGGTACTTTCCAAAAAAGATAAAGAAATGTCAGATAAGCCTCTGAAAAGATGCTCAACATCATTAGGGAAATGGATATTAAAACCACAATGAAATACTACTACATAGTCACTAAAGTGGCTAAAATTTAAAAGACTGACAATACCAATCATTGACAAGGATAAGGAGCAACTCAAATTAATTTAATACATTGCTGGTAAAAATGCCAAATGGTACAGATACTTTGGAAAACAGTTTGGCAGTTTCCTTTAAAGTTATGCATAAACTGGTCATAAGACTCAGCAATTCCATCCCTGGGTATTTACATGAGAGAAATGAATACATGTCCACATGCAGAACTATGATTTATATACATAACAGCTTTATTCATAATAGGTCAAAACTTGAAACAACCTAAACATCCATCAATAGGTGAACAGCTAAACAAATTGTGGTATATCCATATACTAGAATACTATTCAGCAATAAAAAGGAACTTAATACTTATACACACAATAACATGGATTAATCTCAACATGGATAGGTTTCAAAAGCATTATTATACTGGGGAAAAAAAGCCAGACACAAAAAGAGTGCATATTATACAGCCTATTTATTTCAAATTCTAGAATTCTGAAGTCAAATCTAATGTATAATCGCAGAAGCAGGTAAGTAGTTGACTAGGGATGGCTGTTGGGTGGAAGGGACTTCAGAGAACTGCAAAAGGGCTTTAGAGAACTTTTTGGGTGGTGGACATACACTACATTAGAATGGTAGTGGTAGTGAAGTGGGTGTTCACACTTGTCAAAACTCTCCAAAATACAATCTTAAAATATTTTCATTTTATTATTTCTAAATTATACTTATTTAAGAAAGTTAATAAACAGAGCATATCCTAATTCATTTCACATTCTTCCCTTCCAATTCAATGTAGAGTCAACAATGTGGTCTGTCACAATTCCAAGTCAGCAGACCTTTCAAATATCCTGAAAAAATGTTTACTGGTTGCCTTGTAGTTGACACTACTCAATTTCAATAGAATTTCCATTGTTTAAAAAAATTGAAAATTAGGATAGAATTTCCATATTTGATTTTTAATGTACCTCATGCTTACTTTGAAATATAATCTGCACTTGTCTTTGTTAAGGTTTAAGGGAGACATAAAATAATGTTCCTGTCCTCTCCTGACTTTGAACCACTTGAGAGAAAGACAAATGGAGATTCAATATATTGGGTTTATTGCTGAAAAAGGCTAGGTTAGAGGATATACTTTAAGTTTATGCCAACAATAGCCACTGGATATTGAACCTACAATTAGACAGACCTGCTCACTAAGGCATGGGCAGTTCTGCACAAGCACAGGTCTCCCTTTGCAGAGGCAAAGAACCTTCACTGCAAGGTTCACAATGTGAGTGGCAAGAGACCAAAACATAGGTTCTCTGCAGGCATGACAAATCCACAAAAAGGGAAAGAGGCTAGCATGACCAGTTCTGTATCTTAAACTGCCTCCTTTCCTGGGGAAGTGAGAGGAAGAGATCACAATTCCTTGGTAAATGGATAGCCTAAGAAGCACTGTGAGAGGACACCATCCTCACCCCCTGCTTTCTCACCAAAGTGTAGATCAGCATTTCTCAAATGTTCTTCCACATTGGCACATAGTAAGGTGAACTTCATATATAATGCCTATTAGGGCATGATTCATGCTACACTAGCTTTAGGGCCATGTTTCCTCTTCCAAAGTAACTATATTTAATTGCAAGTGACTAAGATAAATGAATCTAGAGATAAACTCCTTTATTTCATTTACTTTATGTAATTTATATATTTCTATATCTTATTGGTTAAAAAAAACTTTCTCAGTCTCAAAAGTCTTTGTTATAAAATACATCAGTTTAATAACCTCTAAGGAACAAAAAAACATATTTAAGATATCCATTGATTTGAAGATAATTACTATGGAACTATGGTTTTTATGTCAACTCCCAACTCATTTAGATATTAATACATGTATCATGAAATCATATGTCAGAATGGCTGGTGCAGAGTCAGTTTAGGAGGGCTTCTGACTCAAGGAAATTAAAAGAAATAATTGTTCATTTTCTTAGTGCTGGGAAAGGCAGTGAAACAAGCTTTTGAATCATTATGTAATTTTGAAATAACTAAAAGGGCTATGGTGTTCAGTTATAATCATAAAAACTCTTCATTTCTGAGACAGAGCTTTTAAAAATCTTCATTATAGTTTTACCATACAGCATCAATTCAAAAGATTGTCATACTGAAATCACTGCCATAAAATTTTGTATATAGGGCCCAGGCGCAGTGGCTCACGCGCAGTGGCTCACACCTATAATCCCAGCACTTTGGGAGGCCAAAACAAGTGGATCACAAGGTCAGGAGCTCAAGACCAGCCTGACCAAGATGGTGAAACCCCATCTCTACTAAAAATACAAAAAATTAGCCAGGCGTAGTGGTGGGCACCTATAATCCCAGCTACTCAGGAGGCTGAGGCAGAGAATTGCTTGAACCCAGGAGGCAGAGGTTGCATTGAACAGAGATCACGCCACTGCACTCCAGCCTGAGCAACAGAGTAAGACTCCATCTAAAAAAAAATTTGTATGTAGGCCCCAGCTTCTGTGATCTATAACTTGCATGGCTTTTCAATGTGATCTATAACTTGGATGACTTTTCAATGTTTATTTAGTGGCTGTTAATATATTTAATATAAATACTCTATAACCAAAGAGCCTATTTTCCAGAGAAGGATATATGATTCTTGGGTTATCAGGCATGGTCTGGATGTGTAGTGTTCTGACTAATGTGTGTCTATGCCATACAATTTGCAAACAAGAATAATATAAATTATATTCAATAGAACTTGAACACTAAACAGTGTTATTTCAGAAAGTATATTAAACATCTATATCACTATCCTGAACATCAATTATTTCTCTTCAGATTCATAAAGATTTGTTATTAAAATTAACAAACTTAGTCAATGTTTGTATATCATTATTCACATACTTGTAAAATCACGGGCGCATTTTTCTCTTCATGCATAGAAGAGTATGAGCTAAAATAAGCATTTTGGGGGGCCTGCAGAAATTAGCTGCCTTCCTTCTCCATAACTCACTGTCCCTTTTTCTCCTCTATCTTATGTCTAAACTATTTTATATCTTACAGTCTTACATCTGGATAAGAAAGACACTAACTTGGCTTACTATGCCAATACAGAGGAAATACTAAGTTCTTTAATAGGGCCTAATGGCCACATGCATTCCATCCTGAGTCTTGCCTCTTTTGAGCTTAAGCTACAGACCCTTTCAAGAAAAAAATCCCGACCAGGCACCACCGTGTGCTCAAGCCTGTAATCCCAGCACTTTGGGAGGCTGAGGCGGGTGGATCACAAGGTCAAGAGATTGAGACCATCCTGGTCAACATGGTGAAACCCCGTCTCTACTAAAAAATATACAAAAAGTTAGCTGGGCATGGTGGCGCATGCCTGTAATCCCAGCTACTCAGGAGGCTGAGGCAGGAGAATTGCCTGAACCCAAGAGGCGGAGGTTGCCGTGAGCCGAGATCGTGCCATTGCACTCCAGCCTGGGTAACAAGCGCGAAACTCCGTCTCAAAAAAAAAAAAAAATCCCACTGTCTCTCCTATAATACTGGAAGCAGTGACTTGTTACTTTCAGATAAGAAAAGGATTACAAAAAAAGTTCTCCTTTTTTTAAAATCAGAGGAAATTGAGACTAAATATAACCAAACTAATTCAAGTTCTTCATAGACATTTACTGAAATAGCTAGTATTACTTCATGTGCAGGGCACCATGCAAGGTACTTTAAATATATTGTGTTCATATAAGAAAGATATTAAGGAGATCAATCTAATTTTTCAAAAGCTAACAATACAAAATAATAGGAAAAAATCTTCAAAATGCAGAAGAAAATATTTATTCACAAATTACACAGTAAACAAACATCCATTACTCAAAACAATATACCAAATGTTGAGTACTCACTTCTCTAGAAACATATTTACTTTTCAAGAATGTTCTTTATTCTCAAAAAATACATAATTAATGTATTTTTTTGAGCGCTCTGAAACTAACCTCTCTAACCAGAGCTAACTTTCTGATGATATAACTTAGGGAAAGAATATTATTTTCAAGGCAAGTGCTAATTTCTCCCAACCCAGAAAAGAGATATGCATTCCAATAAAACAAAAGTTTTAAAAACTATCTTCATAAAAAATGTAGATCATTACTTACATGCTCCAGTAGTAGTAAGATGTTTAACACAAAGTGGGCTACTTTCATTCCTAACAAAGATAAAATTAATTTTACACCAATAATATCTTCCTGAGTGTCAGAAGTAACAGAACCCAACAGGTCTATATTATTGTACTACAATATATAGTATAAAAATAATAGTTCAGATTAGCAATGACAGTATTGGCTTGTGAATGTGATTGTGGTCTTTCAATAAAATACTTCTTTCATATAGGTTTCTCATACTCATGAGACTGTACTATAAATCACATTACATTTTCTATGTATTTTGTGCTTATTTACTCACTGGCATGCTAATAACGACTCTAATTTTTTATTTTTAGAAAGATATAATTGGCTATTTTAAATTATAATTATTTTTTATGTCACTGAGTAGTTTCAAAAAAAGTTACCTAGAAAAGTAATTCCCAATCACCAGATGGAAACATACAAGCAAGAAATAAGTTGTTTCCAGGGTTTTTAAAGCTTTGTAAAATAAAGAAAATAAAGTGTTGGTTTTGACTGAGATAATATAGCAGTACAGTTGTATTAACCTATCTGTAAAAGCCATTCATTTAAAAATACGTATTTTAAAAATGACTCATTTGTGGTAAGGATTACTTACTGTAACAATTAAAAAATAAAACCATCATTCTCATATTTATCAATACTTCACACTTCTAACAAGTACTGAAGGAGACAACTATCATTGATATACTTCAAAGTCAAAACAAAAACACAAATCAGGATTAAGAGAAACTTCAGAAAATGTTCAGAATGTACATATTTGCGTGCATTTTCAGCCAAACTTTCAAAGATTCCACATATAACCAAATGACAACTTTGAATCAAAATGAATGTCAAAAATACTCAAGCTTTCTGACAGAGTTACTCCAATGAAGCAAGGAAAAGAGCGTAAATAGTAAGAGCAGTATATTTCTCTGAGGGAGGGAAATCCCACTATCATAAAATAAAAGTTGAAACAGCATTTCAGTATCATTGGCCAAGTTATTCACTATTCAAGAATACACTTTTCAAGTTGTCTTTGAAATGTATTCATTTACATATTCAGATTAAACTAAGTTTAATAATCACAAAAACATTTTACTCAGAATTTTAACCTTGAGAAATATAAATCATAACTTATTAAAGCATACTGCAAACACTATACAAGAATCCTGCCTTTTTAGTTTTTATATGCCTCATCTGAAAAACTTATTTTACAACCAGGAGTTCTGCTATCTATCGCCAGAGTATGTGTCTCTATGTCAAAACTTCAAGTGGCAATCAAAAAGACAGATTCAAATAATCCTATGCATACTGCTTCATCGGGCTTTGATAAAAACAGAGCCATCTGGTGGTGTAGCACCATCTTCCTTTTCAGTTACAGTCTCTACAGCCCCAGAGGCAGACACAATGACCATTGTTTTATTTGCTGAAACTGTCTTCTCTTTCTCAGCAATAGCTGCACAAACAGCAACAATCTCATCACTTTCAAAATCATAGTCTGGAATTGACTTTGGTAAAAAGTGTGTTACTTCAGCTGGTGCTTCACTTTTTTTAATCCTCTGCGCTACCTTCTGCTGCTCCTGGAGCGTTCTTGCCCAAGAGAGGTCTTCCTTCCATATTTCAGGGTTCATTGGATAGATATGAAGGGCTACTTGAAAACTTCGAATTGCCTAGAAAATAAGGTCAGAGTTTTCTGTTTTGTTTTTAATCATTAGTATGTTTAATACAATCCTCTGTGTGTGTATGTATATACTGTACACATATACATCCTAATGTATTATTTTAATATACTAGAACACAAAAGATGAAAGCTAAGGTATTGCCCTAAACATTAGGAAAAAAAATTACAGAAGTGTGAAAGAAAGTGACTGATAATACGCCGATGGACTAAAAGTCCTTAAAATGGGAGTTCTCATAATAGGGCTCAGGATAAAGCAAATATATTGTCAGCTTCTGCAGACCAGTAAACACGTACATTTGGGGATTTCCTGGGCTAACCCACAATCACAACGGCACCAGGAGCGGATATCTTTGAAGTTAACAGTTTAGATCCTAACAATGTTAGCATTTATTGAATGTTTACTACATTTTAGGCACTAAAGATTTACATGTATTGGGCCAGGTGTGGTGGCCAAAATTTTTTTTTTTGTAAATATAGGGTCTTGTTATGTTACCCAGGTTAGTCCAAACTCCTGGCCTCAAGCAATCCTTCTGCCTCATCCTCCCAAAGTGCTGAGATTACAGACATGAGTCAGCATTCCCAGGCCCTCAAGTGAAATTTTTAAAACCTTCAATCATCTACCTTTTGTCTAGAAATGATCACTTGTCCATCCCAATACTATAGGGATAATTATCATTACAAAAGTGAAACAATAAAAAGAATCAAATGATGCAACTAAAATTTCTAATTAAAGATTTGCTCATGCAAAATATTAAAACCATTGACTAAAATGAGACTTAGAAAACATTAGTAAACAAAATTAGTATTTATCACACATTGGCATGAAGAAAAGCAAAAACTGGCAATGAATTACACAGAGCCTGAACAAGGGAAGCCACAAAGCTAGTTCCAGCGTTGAAGGCTAAGAACTCTGGAAAGCTAACAGAAGAATCCCTCCTAACACTGTTACCTCCTGGTATTCATTACCTTTCCCAATCTCCTTTCCTTTCTACCTTCTTCTTCAGGATAAAACCCTTATGTATTCCTTTCTTGCCATCCCCATTCCCTCATAGAGAACTTTTAACTCCCAGAACCATACTCTTCAGGTTCTTATTCCTTCATCCACGTCTTAAAATCTCATTCTCATACAGTCTTCTATATGAAGACACAAATACATATATAGTACATATATGTATAACATACATATATATGTATATATACACATATAAATATATCTCATATATATACATATACATATATCTCACATATATACATATATCTCCTATAAACATTTTCCAATGTTCACATCAACTCATAAAATTTAAATAATTATTAGACATATACCCAACTATTGACTTTTAATTTACTCCCTGTCCTATTTATATATGTAATTTTCTATGGTTTTAGTCTATATGTATATATAGTAAGAACTGTTAGATGTTAGAAATTCTAGCTTGCTTTCAATATATTTTACGGTGTCCCTTCATTATGACATTTTGAGTCATCTTTTCTTTTTACCATTCTAGTCTTTTAAGAGAACAGCTTAAATCTACATAAAACAGAGAAGATCCCTAAAAATTACATATAAATGTTGGAAAAAAAATACTTTCAATTCTTCTAAGAATTTCATAGTATTAATGAATAGAGCCATATCAACAGAAAAAAAAAAGTTCAACTGGGACTGTTATTCAAAAAAATTTAAAAATAAATTATTTTTATTGGATGATTCAAAGTATCTCTGTTGTCTCAACTACAGTATATTTTCTTTCTTTACAAAGGACAATCTTTACTAAATATTATGTCATAGAGATTTGTTGTATTACCATAGACACTATAAGCAAGAGATAATGATTTATAAATTTTTAATAAGGGAGACAGGAAAAAAGTATTACATGATAGGGTTTTTATTCTCTTGTTAATTTGCTAAAAAACTAAATTCCTTGAACTCCTTTTTTCCAATTCTGGTATGATTTAAGTCTTCAGGTAAAAAAAGAAGAGTTGGCAATGCTAAATGACAAGAAACAAAATAGCACTTGGTTAAAACGGTTTCTATCACTATGAATCTCATTTAGATTATTATTAACTTACTTTAGCCAATCAATTGTTTTCTCATTGAAATTCCTTACTATTTCTGAGAATTTGACAAACAGCATTTTTGGTAAGTAGAAATAATCATACATTTATAAGAATGCCAGAAAAAAATCTAAGTCATCCACAGTTTACTAAAACCACTGTTAGTAAATTTAAATCTTGAATTTATCAGTAATTTTAGTCTTGCAAGAAACTTTTAAAACATTTTATTCTGAACTGTAAAAAACTAATAAAACCATTTTTAAAATCTTAATTTACTTAAAAACAAGATGGAAATTTGGCACTGTATATTGGATTTGCAAATACTTTTAGGAAGTTAAATTTTCTTAGCTATAAGATGTATATGGCCTGCCAAAAGAAAAACAAGAGGACTTAATTCTTACCTAGTTAGCTTCTGCTACTAATAAGGTATAGTCCAGACAAGTTGAAAGAGGCATTAAGTACCAGTTTACAGATTTTACACAGTGAGTATTTCATTTGCACACACTTCTACTTTTCTTCTTTATCCCCTCAGTAAGCCTAGCAACTTTTCAGTCTAAATGTTCATCACCATTATTCTCCCACATTCTACTATCTTGTATAATCTATTAGTGGTTTTATCTTCACAGTGATATTAATATCACTTTATAATGTGATAAATTTAATAATCCTCATAAGACAAAAATGCCAATGTTTTGTTAATTTTTTTTAATTTCCATGTCAAGTAACTGAAAAATATTCCAATCATGATATAATTAGTGTTTATAATAAAAAAGATGTTCAGTAATACCTCTGATCTGTGTTTATGGATTAATATCTTTAAGAAGTAATTTTTTGATAAATATTCACTTTTTGGTTCAGTTAATCAAAAATATGTCAAAATAGGCTGGGCGTGGTGGCTCATGACTATAATCCCAGCACTTTGAGAGCCCAAGGCAGGTGGATCGTTTGAGGTCAGGAGTTCAAGACCAGCCTGGCCAACATGGTGAAACCTCATCTTTACTAAAAATACAAAAATATTAGCTGGGCAGGGTGGTGCATGCCTGGAGTCTCCGCTATTTGGAAGGCTGAGGCAGGAGAATCACTTGAACCCAGAAGGTGGAGGTTGTTACAAGCTGAGATTGCACCATTGCACTCCACCCTGCATGACAGAGCAAGACTCCGTCTCAAAAATATACACATATGTATATACTTTAAATTTCTGCATTATAATAATCTGACTTCCTCACCAGGATTATCTCTCCTAATCCAAGTTGAGCACGTCCCAAAGTTTGCCAAGACTCCCATGAATGTGGATTTCGCTGGACGGCCATTTCTGCTGCATGTACTGCTGGGAACATCTCATGAAGAGACATTAGCACCTATAAGCAAACAAAAGACCAAAAAAATCTATCAGTAATTATATTCATAAACCAGCAACTACATAAAAAAACCCTTTTCATTTTTTAAGATACATTTTTAGTCCAGTAAAAATAGCATTTTGGTGATTTTCACCCCCTACTCTGCCATTCGGGGTAAAAAATTATAGTTCTCTTTTCACCCTGAAATAACTATGAAAATATAAACTATTCCCTTTCTAGTTACTGAATCCTATGTTCATCTGGTCAAAACCAAGTGGTCATATTCTAACCATGATGGCTCAGAGGTATTTTGAACTCCCAATTTCACTTCTATTTATTCTATTTACAGTGTGGCTTTCAGGGAGCCCCAGGTATTGCCATTAAACTAGGTGAATTAATTTGTTCAACGAACCATCCTGTCTCTAATGAACATCTTTCTATTATAAATATTATTTAAATGGCTGGACGCATTGGTTCACACCTGTAATCCCAAAACTTTGGGAGGCCAAAACGGACAGATCACCTGAGATCGGGAGTTTGAGACCAGCCTGACCAACATGGAGAAACCCCGTCTCTACTAAAAACACAAAATTAACCAGGCATGATGGCGCATGCCTGTAATCCCAGGTACTTGGGAGACTGAGACAGGAGAATCACGTGAACCCTGGAGGCAAAGGTTGCGGTGAGTCAATATTGCGCCATGGCACTCCATCCTGGGCAACAAGAGCAAACTCCATCTCAAAAGAAAAATTATTTAAAATATTCCATAGGCCTTCTCGCTACTGGACATTTCAAACCATATATACCAGAAAGCTAGGGTTAGAGTTAGGGAAAGTTAGGGTTACTAGAGAGTTCTAGCACCCTCCATTGTAGTCTATGGAAAAGGGCTGGGATTCTATCTATAATCTTTAGGACCATTAACACTTTAAAAGATTTATGACACAAACATCATTATCAGGTTCCAAATTAAACAACTCTTCATATAGTTTGCCACAAACCTGTCATTAATATATACATATTTAAGATTGAAAACTAAAGGAATCCAAATGAAGGTCCTCATATCACTTCATTCAGTAGATATAATTTATTGGGGCTTTTCCTAGATAAACTAAAGTCAGAGGTAACAAAGGGTGTGTCGTATATTTGAGATCATCATTTGAAAAATATTTGTTAGGTGTGCAGATTAAGGCTGAATTGAAACAATTCCCTGTCAAAAATATGTTTAATGCTCTGTGTGAGACTTTTAAAATCACTTGGATAACCTATTCAAGTACTCAGAGGTTTTCTTTACAGACTTTTCTACAAAATACTAGAAACGTATTTTTAAAGTACAAATGTTATTTTTAAACCACTAATAAAATTGCATCTATGCTGACCTTTTGCTAAGGATTAAGGCATTTTTAGAACTATCTCATCTAGAACGCAATCCATCCTCATTTTTACGAAAACTGAGTTATTTTGTTAAGTCTACTACAATTAATTCACAAGGAAAGCAGATGCTTTTCATCTAAGAGATCACCGATGACTTTGTATTTATCTTTTATTTATTTTTTTGAGATGGAGTCTCGCTCTGTCACCCAGGCTGGAGAGCAGTGGCACCATCTTGACTCACTGCAACCTCCGCCTCCCAGGTTCAAGCGATCCTCCTGCCTCAGCCTCTCAAGTAGCTGGGACTACAGGAATGTGCCACCACACCCGGTTAATATTTGTATTTTTAGTACAGGCAAAATTTCACCATGTTGGCCTGGGTGGTCTTGAACTCCTGACCTCAAGTGATCCACCCACCTCAGCCTCTCAAATTGCTGGTATTATAGACGTGAGCCATGGCACCTGGCCACCAGTGACTTTATAAAAGGTATCCATCTATTTCTATCTTACAGTACTTAGACTGAAATAATGGTTAACTTCATTGTGAAGGCAAATGAATTTCAAATTTTATGCATAAGACAGAGCCATAAATAATGGTGAAATTTTTTCCCAAAGAAATTGTATTTGAAAAAGGAAATGGGAGAAAATGCCATTTTGGTTCATCATTGCTCACTCACCGAACAAACACAGCACAATTTCATAATCAAAGTGAAATTCTTCATAATTATTACCTGTGATTTCATCTCGTATAGTGTAGCATCATTTGGAGTTAACTGTAGTGCTTCATCCCACTTCTGAATTGCCTCTCGATATCTATGGTTGTCAAAGTTATATTAATATCATATTTTCAGAATGTCCTTTTTTTAGACTTTTTTAAAACTGTTGAAAGTAAATTTTGTAGTAAAATATAAAATTTACCATCTTAACCATTGAAGCATTCAGTTCAGAGGCATTTAGTAGTATTAAGTACATATAGTACATTCACATTTTTGTGCAACCACCACCACCATTCATCTCCAGAACTTTTTCATTTTCCCAAACTGAAACTCTGTACCCATTAAACAATAACTCCTTATTGCCCCACCCTCCAGGCCCAGGAAAACACCATTCTATTCTTAGACTACTTTCAGGAGACGTAGTCATGTATTTTCAATTTAGTAGTTGTATAGACTACCTTCTAGTCCATGAAATATATATAAAAATCCAAAATAAAGGATTAACAAATTAATTCCAGCAAGTTATTAAAGTACAAAATCCACATGATCATGTAGTGTATGCTCAGAAAAACTTAGAAATGGGTTCATATGTAACAGATAAGAAAGAAAAAAGTACATGTCACTAAACAATACTTAATTTAACACCCATTTCTGATTATAATAAAAGTATAATTTATTATATTTTAACTGTAATTTAACACCCATTTATGATCATAATGAAAGTATATGCAACATTGAAGAACTTTAGTCCCTTGGTGCCATTATCTACTAAGCTTTAATGATATAACCTCTGAAAGCAGTAACTTTATCACCTATAAATAAAGGGCTTGTGCATCTTTAGGCATATTGTGGATGATACCAAGCCTCTCTACACAATATTTCCAAATATTACAGATGCAACAGGAAAAAACTTTGGTAATTAATTTATTAATGTATTCCTTCACAACAATCCTTACACTTACAATTTTCTAACAAAGGCAACAGTAGTAAATTCTTCAAGACTTAATAGTAACAAATGTCCTTCCTCCAGCATTAGAGGAAAAGACTGTTCAATCTTTTTTCTACCACTCCCTGTTCATACCTGTGCTCCACTTACAGTCCCTACCAACATATCATGCTGTGTTCCACTTACAGTCCCTACCAACATATCATGCTGTGTTCCACTTACAGTCCCTACCCACATATCATGCCTTTGTTAGTATGGCTCCTCTGCTGCACATACATACACACATCTGTATTAGTCCATTCTCACGTTGCTATAAAGAACTGCCCAAGACTAGGAAATTTATAAAAGAAAGAAGTTTTAATTGACTCAGTTCCACAGGGCCAGGAGGCCTCAGGAAACTTACAATCGTGGCAGAAGGGGAAGCAAGTATGTCCTTCTTCACACAGAGGCAGGAGAGAGAAATGAGTGCTGAGCAAACGAGGAAGCCCCTTATAAAACCATCAGATCTTGTGAGAATTCAGTGTCATGAGAACAGTATAGCAGAAACTGTCCCCATGATTTAATTATCTCCATCTGGCCCCATCCTTAACACATGGGGATTATTACAGTTCAAGGTGAGATCTGGGTGGGGACACAGAGCCAAACCATATTACACATCTAAGACTGCCTTCCTACCCCTCTTCATCTTTTGAAAGGCTCATCCTCTAAGACCAAATTAAAATGTTCCATTCTTCATGTAGACCTCCTCCAGTGGCTCTAGCCCGCTAACTATGAGTAGCACTTCAGACCACATAGCAACACTTACATTTCTAAAGCATTTTATGTTTCACAAAGCACTTTCAATAAAATTATTTAACATTCACTTATTTTCCCAAAAAGTTAATTCACTTACTAAAGTAAATGAATATAAATTTGAAATTAATTTGCTTTTTAAAAAATTTTTTTGAGACATGGTCTTGCTCCATTGCACTGACATGATCATAGCTGACTGCAGCCTTGAACTTCTGGGCTCAAGGGATTTTCCCACCTTGGCCTCCCAAGTAGCTAGGACTATAGGCATATGTCACTATGCCCAGCTAACTTTTTTATTTTTATATTTCATAGAGACAGGATCTTGCTATATTGCCCAGGCTGGTCTCAAACTCCTGGCCTCAGTCAGTCCTGCCTTGGCCTCCAAAAATGCTGAGATTATAGGGGTGAGCCACCATGCCTGGCCTCAAGTTTGGCATTACTTGTTCTCACTTTATTGATAAGGAACCAATGGTTGAGAGCAGCTACAGGACTGTCCAAGTCCTGCAAAAGACAAGATTTAAAGCTCGCTCTTACAAATACAAGACCAATACTTTCTGTAACTACACGAAGTATATCTCCCATTCAATTCTGCTCTAATTCTCCTTGTATTTTTGTCTCCTCGTCTCGAATGAGTTCAGGAACCAAAGGGTAGATTTGTTTATATGCTCTACAGCACCCAGAACATTTCTGGGAACGCAGAAGTTACTAATATAACAGATTCTTTTTTTTTTTTTTTTTTTTTTTAGAGACAGAGTCTCACATTGTCACCCAGGCTGGAGTACAGTGGCGCAGTCTTGGCTCATTGCAACCTCCGCCTCCCGGGTTCAGGCACACACCACCATACCCGGCTAATTTTTGTATTTTTGTAGGGAGGGGTTTCTCCATGTTGGTCAGGTTGTTCTTGAACTCCTAACCTCAGGTGATCTGCCCGTCTCAGCCTCCCAAAGTGCTGGGATTACAGGCATGAGTGACCATACCCAGCCTAATATAATAGATTGTATCTACCTCATTTATCCTACCTTCTCCAAGTCCTGAAGCCAGCAGAGAGAAGCACAGAAAGCATGAAAAGAGGGACAGATGTAGCATGCTGTTAACATATCAGGGGGAAAAAAATGGTAATAAAAACAAATTCTATCCTAAGACAAAAGTGGTAAAAATGTTAATTCTTACTTTGCTCCATTCGTTATTTCACATATAGAAATTATAAGAAATTCCAAGACTATGGAAATGTGAGTATGGGTTAAAAAAAAAACAAAGGCATTAGAATTCATGGTATGGTGGAGGGACCTTAAGACCTTGGATGTCTGATGTTTCAGGAGTCTTTGAAGCTTTTGAGGAAGGGGCTCAAGGTCTTTGGTCTCTAGAGCAAGGGGTGACACAGTAAAGGTCCATATAGTAAATATTTTAGGCTTTGTGAACCATACAGTCTGTCACAACTATTCAACTCTACTACGGTATCCCAAAAGTCAGCCATAAACAATAATTTAAAAATGGACATGGCTGTGTTCTAATAAAATTTTATTTACAATAATAGGCTGTAGTTTCCCAACCCTAGATTTACTTGGCCCAACCACTATTAAAAGCTTATCATATCTGTCAAATTTACTTTTTACCTCCAGTCCTATTTACTGCCCAACTCAACCAGAGGAAGTTATCGCCCCATAAAAGGCATTTGTGGTCATCACTGTGACTTGGAGGCACTAGTGACAGAAGGTCAGAGATGTTAACATTCTTCAAGGCAAACATCAAGCCTGCACAATAAAGCCATCCTGTTCTCAGCAGTTTTCCCCAAAATACCACTAGCACTTATCCCATCCCAACCCAACAAAGCTGCTTATGTTCCTAAGCTTAAGTTGTCCCAAGTACAAAGTAAACTAAGAGGTTCGAGGTGACAATGAGCATCACTAGTTATTTCTTTTTATTAGGCAGGTATGCATGTGTGCATATACATACAAATACACATACACACACACACACACGCAAACATAGGCTCACAGATTTGAGAAAAAAGAAAAAAGTTCTCTCTTCTCCACTGCACTGCCTTTTATTTTGAAAACATAACTACTGCTGCCAGTAGGGGCATCACTCAATGAAATGTGCTTTGTTGCCAATAAAGCATATAAAGGTTTAAAGGAACAACTAAGCTGTTTTCCACTGGCTAAACAAAGCAAGAAATGGTGGGCATTTACTTCACTATCATCAGCTTGTTCAATTCTTCCCCCTTCTCATTTCTCTTTGGTTTACTTCTCCTGGCCTGCAAACAAAGGGTGGCACCACTTAGTTCCTCCATTTTTAGATCACAGGAAATTTGGCACCGAACAAATCAATAGTCTCTCGTAACTTCTACAGTATATCTCTTAATTCAACTTCAGTTTGGAACAGACTGAACAGACACAGCCCTACTGCAGCTGTTGGATAGGAAGCATTAAAAGATAAAAACTTGGTTTAAAGTCACTGTGGTTAATAAATGACTAAAGTCTGATTCCGCCAGTTTAAGGACAACCTTAACAGTATGCAACTGAACTAGCACAAGGAAGGAAGCAAAGGGAATAGTTCCATGGACTACAATAGGGCAGGATGAGATAATTCCCTACACTGAGGTAAAGAACAGCTGGCGATCAAGCTAAATAAGTTAGATAGCACACTCATTTACCAGATAGAAATGTCACAGTGTTTAGCTACTTTACTCCCAATTACATTTCTAATTTATTGTGGCTTTAAATTTAATGAGCTATATAGTTAACAGCTTATTCACTTTATAAATATTTACTGGGCCCCTACTCTGGAACAGGTAGAATTCTTTTAATAAGTATGAAGGATACAACATTCAACAAGATATAAAAGGTCCCTGCTATCCTTCTAGATCTTACTTTCTAAAGTGTATGCATATTAGAAGGGGACAGGGAAAGAAAGACAAGTTAAAATACAAGTGCCATGATAAAAGGCAAATGGAAGAATGTGATAGGGAGTGACCAAGTGGCTACTCAAAATGGGTGACCAGAAGTCTTCCCAGGAACACATTCAAGCTGAGACCTGAGTGACAAAAAGTGGTTAGACAACTGAAAATCTGGAGAAAGTCCATTCCAGGCAAAGGGAAGAACCTGGGGCAGGACCAAACCATGTTTTGTGGAAATGAAATAAAACCAGAGAGGAAGGGAAGTGACAGGTCAGAGAGGTGGACTGAAGCTATGATCACAGAGAATACAATAAGCCATAGTTATGTGTATGGATTTAATTGTATCTGTGATAGAGAATCCATAGAACTTGTATACAACAGTGAGACATGAATTATTGACTTACATTTTTAAAAGATCAATTAGGCCCTGAGGAGAAGAATAGACTGTAAGGGTATAAAAATA